TCCTCCCCCAGCGCCTGGACCGCTCACCCCACACCTTCCTGCCTCTGGGAGGTCCTGCCTGCCCCCCCTCATGTAACTCAGGGACTGCCCAGCTCCCACGTCCCCTCCTGCTTCACCGTCCTCCCTGGCACGATCCCCAGCGACCGACGTTCTACGATCTGTTGGTTCTCCCTGGTCACCCCCCTACAATGTCAGCTCCGGGAGGTGTGGGTTTCCTCTATCTGGTTCACTCCTGGATCTTCAGCGCCTGGAACAGCCGTCAATACACGTGGACTCAGTGGGACCTTTGTTTCCAAGTGTTCCCGATCGGTTCTTCCTGTCTGCCCCGCTGACAGCCATAAGCTCGGAGACACGTACGTGTCAGTACCAGGCTCTGTGCCATGTGCTGGGGGCAGGAGCAGGAGTGGCTGCCCGGATCCCCCCACTTCCCCCATGCTTTACCCTCTGACACTGGCAGCAGGTGTGACTCAACCAGCAGCAGCTGAAGCCGTGACAGCACTGCCCGCCCTCTGCCCAGCCCCTGGGGCAGACCAGGTGAGGGTGCAGAGGGCAGACCAGGTGAGGGTGCAGAGGGCAGACCAGGTGAGGGTGCAGAGGGCAGACCAGGTGAGGGTGCAGAGGGCAGACCAGGTGAGGGTGCAGAGGGCAGACCAGGTGAGGGTGCAGAGGGCAGACCAGGTGAGGGTGCAGAGGGCAGACCAGGTGAGGGTGCAGAGGGCAGACCAGGTGAGGGTGCAGAGGGCAGACCAGGTGAGGGTGCAGAGGGCAGACCAGGTGAGGGTGCAGAGGGCAGACCAGGTGAGGGTGCAGAGGGCAGACCAGGTGAGGGTGCAGAGGGCAGACCAGGTGAGGGTGCAGAGGGCAGACCAGGTGAGGGTGCAGAGGGCAGACCAGGTGAGGGTGCAGAGGGCAGACCAGGTGAGGGTGCAGAGGGCAGACCAGGTGAGGGTGCAGAGGGCAGACCAGGTGAGGGTGCAGAGGGGAGGGGGCGGGGCGGGGCCTTCGGCCCAGATCCTTCCTTGTGCTGGGCTGCGGCCTTGTGCACTGGGCGATGCTAAGCAGCATCCCGACCGCTACCCACCAGATGCCCACGGCACCTGCCACTCAAGTGGTAACAGCCCCAAAGGCCAGCAGACCTGGGGGACACGGGGTCCCCTGAGCCACCGCCATGTGTGTGTGGCGAGGGGGAGAGAGGGAAGCTGAGGGCGGCAGATCCCAGAGGCAGGCGGGCACAGGAGGGTTTGCAGAGGCCAAGAGAAGAGAGTGTTCCAGAAGAGAACGAACGGGAAGCAGGAGAGCAGCGGTGCAGAGGGGCCACCCCAGGAGGTCCCCCACCCCACCCCCTGCTGGGGTTCAGGATCGCACAGCCTCTCTGGGTGGGGCTGAGGCAGCCCCAGGAAGGAGCAGTCCCTGTGGGGAGGATGTGACAGGAGCGCTGTGTCCCACGGCACCTGCCACTCAAGTGGTAACAGCCCCAAAGGCCAGCAGACCTGGGGGACACGGGGTCCCCTGAGCCACCGCCATGTGTGTGTGGCGAGGGGGAGAGAGGGAAGCTGAGGGCGGCAGATCCCAGAGGCAGGCGGGCACAGGAGGGTTTGCAGAGGCCAAGAGAAGAGAGTGTTCCAGAAGAGAACAAACGGGAAGCAGGAGAGCCGTGGTGCAGAGGGGCCACCCCAGGAGGTCCCCACCCCACCCCCTGCTGGGGTTCAGGATCACACAGCCTCTGTGGGTGGGGCTGGGGTGCCCCAGGAAGGAGCAGTCCCTGTGGGGAGGATGTGACAGGAGCGCTGTGTCCCTGGCAAGCCCAGGGCAGCAGTCCCACCACGGGGGGTAGGGGAGGGCGGCTGTCTGCCTGCTGTGTGTGGCCCAGTGACCCCATTCTGACCAAACACCAGCAGAGCCCCTGCCTGCCTAGCAGGTGACCCAGAAACCAAAGCCCTTTATCCTCTCAGGCAAATCCCTCCCCTCCGCCCCTCCCTCCACCTCACAGCCCAGCTCACCCAGACCCACCCCTCCTCTGTCCTCCTCTTTTCCTCCTCCCTCTCCCCTCCCCTCCTCTTCCCTCCCCTCCTCTCCCCATCCATCCCCCATCCATCCCTCATTCATGCATCAATGTTCCCTGCACACCTTTAGCCTTGAGGGGCTGGGTATGAGGCCTCACCGTCCCCCTTTCTGATCCTATTAGATGGCTTTTCTTTCCTATTTTTGTCTCTCCCTCCCCCATTTTTATCACCTTCCTCTCCCAGCCCCTTTCTCTCTCCCTCTCCCCCGCCCCCCACTCTCTCTCCATCTGTCTTCCCCACTCTCCTCTGCCTGCTCCTTTCTCTCCTGCTCCGCAGGGTGAGACTGGCTTCCTCCTGGGGTCTGCCTGGGTACCTCGGCCCATCCTCCGTGCCCCCGCCTCCATCCCTAGCTCACGGCATTCTCCATTTCTCAGGCCACCAGAGAGCATTCTAGATGCCAGGAGAGAAACATTAATGATGGTTAGGAAACCGTGTGAGCTTCCCTCCCCCATTTTTATCACCTTCCTCTCCCAGCCCCTTTCTCTCTCCCTCTCCCCCGCCCCCCACTCTCTCTCCATCTGTCTTCCCCCCTCCCCCTCTGCCTGCTCCTTTCTCTCCTGCTCCGCAGGGTGAGACTGGCTTCCTCCTGGGGTCTGTCTGGGTACCTCGGGCCCATCCTCCGGGCCACCGCCCCATCCCTAGCTCACGGCATTCTCCATTTCTCAGGCCGCCAGAGAGCATTCTAGATGCCAGGAGAGAAACATTAATGATGGTTAGGAAACCGTGTGAGCTCACATCGCCTGAGGGCTCACTGAGGCCAGGGGAGCCTGGGGCGAGCCCACCTTTCCACCCACAGCCCAGGAGGGGGCGCTACCATCACCTCTACCCCTCGCCCCCCCCTCCCCCCCCCGCAGGTGGGCCTGCTCAGAGCTGCACCCACCCGCTCCCTCTGAAGCCTGTGTGTCCCCTTGAGCACTGTGCCCTCAGCCTCACCCAGAGGAAATGCTGGGTCCGGGGGTAGCCACTGGCCTTTGACCTTCCCCCAGATAAACGTGACCTCTGAGGACAGGAACAGTGTCCCGTGGCTTTTATCCCAGCCCCAAACAGACGCCGGACACGTGCTCAGTCAGTGTCTAGATTACCCTCATGGCCGCCCAGCCCGAGAGGCCGCTGGTATTGTCTCAGTGAGGAGGTGGGGCCCGGCCGAGATGTCAAAGGTCACACAGTGGTAGGTGGCCGAGCAGGGATTGAAACGCAGGTCTACCTGTCCCCGAAGATGGCCTTCCCTCCAGAGAAGAGGAGGGACTCAGAGCAAGGCCTGCTGTCCCTGGGGACCCACGGCTGTTAGAAGCCGACTGGCCACCTCCGTCCTGGCCGAGTTTCAGGGACCTCGGGTGGCGGTGGTGGGGGTTGGGGGTGACGGAGGCTGGAGACTCATGGGGCGTCTGGTGTCTGTCCGCAGCGGTCATGGGCGAGTCCGAGCCCTGGCACGGGAACTGCATAGCCCACACCAGCCCCTGGAGCCCCTGCTCCACCAGCTGCGGCCTGGGCATCTCCACACGGGTCTCCAACGCTAACGCCCGCTGCTGGCCCGAGCAGGAGAGCCGCCTCTGCGCCCTGCGGCCCTGCGACGTGGACATCCGTCCGCTCATCAAGGTGGGTCCCCTCCCAGGGCGGGCTGGGCGGGCGTCTCGCGCTCCACAGGGGAGCTGGGCTCTGAGCCTGGCCCCCCAGCTTTCTCAGGGGGCCGCTGTAAAATGGGGGTAAGTAAGCCCACCTCCTAACCGTTATCGGGGTAACGTGTGTCACCAGGTGGGCGTCTTGTGAATTTCACTGAACGGAGTGATCGTGGTGACTATGTTGTTAGCATCAGGGTCTCTCTGGAGAGAACCCAGGGACCCTCAGAATTGGTCCCCTGGTGATTCTGGAGGACCCTCGTGACCGCCATTCTCCTCTGCCCCTGTGCTCACGCAACCCACATGCACCTCACGCCAGCCACGTGGGTGACAGGAGCACTAGACAGGGCCGGGGACACTGGCATCAAATGCCCGCCTGCTGCTGACTGCACGTGACGGTGGCCCATGTCCCCCATCGCTGTGCCCCAGGCCCCACGTCCATAACATATGGGGGCCTAGACCTCCCGTCTAGCACCTGCCATGTGCCAGGCACGGAATTAGACCACAGGCGCCCAGAAAGAGCCCTGCTCTTGAGTGGCCCGAGGGAGAGACAGAGCAACTTTTATTTTTTTAAATATATTTTTATTGATTTCAGAGAGGAAGGGAGAGGGAGAGAGAGAGAGAAGCATCCACGATGAGAGAGAATCATTGATTGGCTGCCTCCTGCACGCCCCACACTGGGGATGGAGCCTGCAACCCGGGCATGTGCCCTAACCAGGAATTGAACCGTGACCTCCTGGTTTATAGGTCGACGCTCACCCACACCAGCTGGGCGAGCTACTTTTAAATAACACCAACTCCAGCTGGGCGAGCTACTTTTAAATAACACCAACTCAGTTGAGTAAGTGGGTGTGAGAGGCTGTGGGGAGCGGAGGAGGGGGAGGGAGGGTAAAGCGCATACCCGGTCACTAGTTAGCTGGGCACTTGGTTGATGGGGGAGCTGCAGGGGTGTCCTGTGGGCGGGGGGCAGGCAGAAATGGAGGGAAGAAGGGAAATTGCAGACTGCGAGCAAAGCCTTCCGGTCTGTGGGCCTCAGTTGACTCCTGCGTCGCACGGGGTGGGGGTCTTGCTGGGTTGGGGGAGGGCCTCCCCAGCTTGAAGGTGCTGCGGATCTAAAAGAAAGGGGGTGAGAGGGGGTGAGAGAAAAGGGGCCGTGAGGCTGGGAGGGCAGAGGTGGTGGTTCGTCCCCTGAGCATCCCAACCGACACCCCTTTCCGCAGGAAGGGAAGAAGTGTCTGGCTGTGTACCAGCCGGAGGCGCCCGTGAACCTCACCCTCGCCGGCTGCGTCAGCACACGCGCCTACAGGCCCAAGTACTGCGGGGTCTGCACGGACAGCAGGTGCTGCATCCCCTACAAGTCCAAGACCATCAACGTCTCCTTCCAGTGCCCCGACGGGCCCGGCTTCTCCCGCCGGGTCCTGTGGATCAACGCCTGCTTCTGCAACCTCAGCTGCAGAAACCCCAACGACATCTTTGCTGACCTGGACCTCTACCCCGACTTCTCAGAAATCGCCAATTAGGCGGGCACCACACGCAGGGCTCGGGCCTGGCCCAACGCGTGCCAAGCAGCCAGCCCTCGGCGGCCCACGGCTGGGCCCTCCCTAGTCCACTTCCCGTTCATTTCCGGTGACCCTGACCCAGACCCTTGGCCCCTTCCCTGTCTCCGACCACCCCGTGGCCCACTAGGCTGCTGCTCCGGCCCCGGCTGTGGGTCCCGTCCTTGGCAGGGTCCTGCGTGCCCTCCACAGAAAGTGCCTTCTCCATCTGGTCTGGGCCACCCCGGCCTGTGTGAGTCACTGTGTGTCCTGAGTCCCATGGAGCGACTCGGCTGGACCTCTGATCTCGCTAGTCCCCCCTTGAGATGCCAAACGTGAGACTCCTTGGGTCCACGCAACAGGAGCGATGGGATTGAGGACAACGGATCAGTCTACTGCTCGGGCCCTGCCGAGGGGCCCTGTAATAATAGTTCTGACCACAGCACCCCAAAGTAGCTCTGATCCCAAAGATTTACGTACCCCGAAGTCACCAGACATCTGCCACGGGAGGCCCATGGTTCCTGGGCTTGGATTTTTCACGGAGAATTGTGTCCATGAATCCGGGCCTTGCTGAAGCTAAGTTCCTCCTCACTCCTGCGCTGTGAGGGGTACACGTTGGGGTCATTTCCTTAGAAATGCCATTTGGTCAATTTCATTCTTGTTCCTGGGGAAAGTCCCCAGTCAGGACTCCAAGGGCAGAGCAAGGTCAGCCCATTTTCCAAAGGAGCGACGGACGCAGCACGCACCCGCTGCTGACCACCAGGACGTTCACAGGGGATGGGCCAGGCTCTTCCCCAAAGCTAGACCCCCACCGGCCTGGGGGCTGAGGGGAGGTGGGGGAGCCCCTGGATGGCCTCGCTCACCCCTGAGAGTAGTGTTCTGGGACATTCTTCTGCACTTAGGGACCTCAACTGATGTCCAGGCCAGACCCTCCTGCAGTGGCCGAGGTCCAGGCCGGGAGTGGGTCAGGCCAGGCGGTGGGTCCAGCCTGCATCAGCCTGGGTGGCAAAGGCCACCGGGCCCAGGACACCCCGTCTCTTTCTGCCTCAGTGACCCATGTCACAGACTTCGGGTCTGCCGACCCACACGACCCGGTTCTGACCCACAAGGCTGAGGTTTACCAGTTGGTTAGAAACAGAAACCTACTTCACAGGGATCGAGAGCCAATGGGGTTGCAGCTAATAGCACGACAAGGCTGTCCCCGTGGCAAGGAGGCCAGTATTCACTTTGTTGGTGAACTAGGACTCTCTACTGTTACCTTCTTTCACTCTGTACCTACCACGCGCCACGTTCTCGGTGCCTCCCATGCACTAGCTCACGGACACGTCAGGGTCGTGTTGAAAGGTGCCCATTACGATTTCTGCTCTTACAAATGTGAACTGGAAGCTCAGAGCGGAGAGGAAACGGGGCCACAGCTGCCCAGCTGGTCCGTGGGGGTCGGGATTGCAACCCCCGCTGACTGGCCTGATCACCCCGATGTCTTTCCTCCTCTCAGAGCTCCCAAGCGCGTCAGGGCAGGAGAACACGTCGAAGTCAGCGACTCCTCACTCTCATTTTTTTTTTTTTGCCCTTCCTCACTGTCTCTCTAGGGCAGTGGTTCTCAACCTTCTGGCCCTTTAAATACAGTCCCTCATGTTGTGACCCAACCATAAAATTATTTTCGTTGCTACTTCATAACTGTAATGTGGCTACTGTTATGAATCGTCATGGAAATATCTGATATGCAGGATGGTCTTAGGCGACCCCTGTGAAAGGGTCGTTCGACAGCCAAAGGGGTCGCGACCCACAGGTTGAGAACCGCTGCTCTAGGGCCTTTTCCAAGAGCGGGGAACCTGGCATTCAGGTCACTGAGGTGCCGAGTGCCCAGAAGCATGCGAGGTGGGCAGAATCCCACGCCTCCCCTGCGGACCGTCCCTCCTGCGGCCCAGAACCGGGCCCCGCACTCACAGGCGGCGTGGTTCGCCCAGCACTGCACGCTGTGATGCGCGTGGCCGGCAGAGGGATTCCCCACCAGGACTCAAGGGCCAGACTGTGTCCTCTGCACTGGGGCCTCCTGAGTGCCTGGGCCGTGCCCGGCGTCCCGTGGTGCGCACACAGCTGGTGAATAAAAGAAGCGGCGTGTGTTCCTACCTTTACTCAGAAGCTCTCCTCTTCCACGCGTGTGTGACGGTCTCGTTTCTATTCGATGACTCTTCCTTTAAGGGCCATAGGAACAGAGACATGGAAAATGGGTTATTGGGGGGGCAGAGGGAATTCTGTGTGAGGAGAACTGACCCCATGAGTAATCTCTTCTAGTCTGTGTGGGCCGTGCCGGGTTTTCTCAGGGGGAACTCACCTGCCCTCTACCAATCACAGACTCCGTGACGGGGATCCTGGTTCTCCCTGAAGAGGCACTCCAGTTTGGGAAACGAATCATAGCTCCCGGGGTCACAGGAAGCCTGGTGGGAGGAATTGGGGGTTACCCCCGGAGTGGGTGGGAAGGGCTGGGTCTCCAGCTGCTGCCGAGACCCACGGATGAGGGCACGAAACCAAAACCAGCAGCCAGGAGAACGAAGGCGGATCCCAGCTGGCAAAACAGCCTCCGGCCACCGACTCCAAATAGCAAACACCTGCACACGCGGCGGTCGCTCCCTCCCTCCGTGGAGGCCTGAGCCCGGGGAGCTGGTGGAGGCAGGTCCAGGGTGTCTGTGCCGGCTCCGCCCCAAAGCTGGTGTGTGTCCCACCGCGCTGCCCGGCACTGGTGTTCCCGTCACCTGCCTTTCCTTGGCTCCGCTCAGGAGGGGACAGAAGAGGCCCTTACTGTGAGTGCTGAATCCGCAGGAGCCTGCGCGCTGCCCACCTGGGCCTGGAGCCGGCCTTCCTCACCTGGGAGCCTCCGGCCAGGAATCCACGGAGGGAACTCAGGGGCCACGGACTGACGGGAGAACATGCCTCCTGGTTCTCACTGACTGTAGCTGCCATTGAGCATTTCGCTCTGTCTCCACACAGACTCGAACCCTGACCTCACCAGCTGAGGTCACATCTGTTTTCCTAGCACAGTTGTGGTGGGAACCCCAGGTATTGTGCGCATCACCGCTTGGCAGTTCCACGGAGCCCGCCTCCTCGTTACTATCTAACTTGTTCGTAAAGAAGTACGTGTTGAGCCCAGCCGGTGTGGCTCAGTGGTGGAGCATCGACCTATGAACTAGGACCGTGGTCGGCAAACTGCGGCTCACGAGCCACACGCAGCTCTTTGCCCCCTTGAGTGTGGCTCTTCCACAAAATACCACGTGCGGGCGCACGTACAGTGCGATTGAAACTCCGTGGCCCATGCGCAGAAGTTGGTTTTCGGCCTGGGCAAGTCTATTTTGAAGAAGTACTGCTGATATTTGGCTCTGCTGACTAATGAGTTTGCCGACCACTGAACTAGGACATCAAGGTTCAATTTCCAGTCAGGGCACACGCCCAGGTTGTAGGCTCCCTCCCCAGTAGGGAGCGTGCAGGAGGCAGCCCATCAGTGATTCTCTCTCACCATTGATGATTCTCTCTCTCTCCCCCTCTCCCTCTCCCTTCCTTTCTGAAATAAAAATATTTAAAAGAAAAGAAAAACAAAAAGAAGTACGTGTTGCTATGTCCCCCAATTGCCACACTTGGGCAGTTCTCCTTCACTGTAAGTGGTTGCTTTTGTAATCCTAGGGATTTTATTTTAGGCGTCTAACCCTCTCCCTGCCTGGCTTCTGGCCACATACAACACACACAATCACCTGCCCGGGTCTGGACCACGGCTTTCTCATGCAGGCACACGCCTCCCACCCTCCGTGCTGGCGTGCACGCGGGCCCCCCGGCTGGGATGCTGTCTCACCCTCTGCACTGAGTCAGCAACTCCTGTAACTCCCAGACCCATTTCCTGAGCCACGGGCCCGACTGCAGCCCGTCCACTCCGAGCCACGCGGCCAGCTTTGTGTTTACCACTGATGACCCACTCAGACACTCCTCAGGGCACGTGAAGAAAAACCAGAATGAGTAACAGCATGGCGCTGTTTAGGGGGGTGGGGGGTGGGGTGTGACTTGCCCGGCGGGTGTGGCTCAAGGGTTGAACACCAGGAAGTTGCCAGTTCAATTCCCCATCAGGGCACACGCCTGGATTGCGGGCTCGACCCCCCAGTTGGGGCGTGTAGGAGGCAGCTGATTGATGATGTTTCTTTCTCATGATGTGTCTATCTCTCTGTCCCTCTCCTTTCCTCTCTTTCTAAAAATCAATTAAAAACACATTTAAAAAATGAAATAAAAGGGAGGGAGTCTTAAGTGTGGGCTGCGTTTGGTGCCTTGCTTGGAAAGGGGAGTGGAAAAGGTAAGGACAGCGGAAAAACCTGGCAAAGGCTACCTGTGCCAGGTGATCAAGGTTAAGCTCATCGGCGATAAACGATGCTGACCCATCATGAGAAGGGCCTCCGGGGCCTTCATTCCGAGGACGCAAACTCTAATGGAACCAGAGGAAAGCATGGTGCACACCTCCATGGAGGGCCGCCCCACACAAAGCCTGGCCGGGCTTCTCTCACTCTCCAGGTCACCACAGCGAGGGAGAAGCTGTTACAGGCCAGGCGCTAAGGCGACGTGACTACAGGCCCTGGGTGTCCTGGGGCGGGTCTTGGGGCAGGAAGGGACGGTGGGGCAAAATTCGTGCAATCCCAATAAAGCGTGGAGCTTAGTTAATAATAATGTATCAGTGTCGGTTTCTTAGTCGTGACTGACGTGCCATAATAACCTAAGACATTAATAAGAACAAGGGGACTCTGGCCGAGTAGCTCGGTTGGTTAGAGCCGTGGTCGGCAAACCGCGGCTCACGAGCCACATGCGGCTCTCTGGCCCCTTCAGTGTGGCTCTTCCACAAAATATCACGTGCGGGCACGCACGTACAGTGCAATTGAAACTTCGTGGCCCATGCACAGAAATCAGTATTTTGTGGAAGAGCCGGTATTTTGTGGAAGAGCCACACTGAAGGGGCCAAAGAGCCGCATGTGGCTCAAGAGCCACGGTTTGCCGAGCCGCAGTTTGCCGACCACTAGAGCATCGGCCTGATGCACCAAGGTTGTGGGTTCCACCCCCGGTCAGGGCACATACACGCAGCAGCCAAGGAATGCGTGAGTCAGTGGAACAAATCAATGCTTCTCTCTCTCATCAATTTAAACATAAAAATACAATTAAAAATAATAATAAGGGAAGCCGTGTGGGGCGTGGACTAAAACGGGCCACGTGCGATCCTGACTAACTCAGGGAGGGCCTGCGGGCGGCCTTGCAAACTCAGAGACCTGAAGGATGGTCTGCCGTTAAAACTTTTGAAATTAAAAAGCAGTTTATAGTGGGCAGTCAGGTCCTAGGCCAGTATCTTCCCTGACAAAGACCAACTATGAGTCTATGGTCTTTCTGCATCTAAGGTAACGTACCTGTGGACTCTCGGGGTAACTTGTAACTTCCCTTTTCCGGGACCCCTCAGGGCACAGCCAAGGCGCTAGGGCGGGGACCACAAACTCCCTCCTGTTATCCTGTTCATTGTTGACCATTAACTGTCCTGCACCCACCTGAGTAAAGGAAGCATGTGTCCATCATTTCACTTTTTATCCAATCCCAGAGGTTCCCTGCTCTGCTTTCTCCCGCCTCCCTGTTCTATCACCAATGGAGTTCATCTCACCCACCAAGGTCTCCTCCTTTGATTGCAATGGATAAAACATGGTGCAAAACCCCGCCCTTCTCCAGAACATTCTCTCAATGCAATGAGATTCTGCTTCCCAGCAATTGTCGACAGTTTGGCTCCAATAAACTCACAAAAACGTTTAATGTTTTAACACTTTGAATGTTTCTTACGTTAACAGGGGTCTCCGGGAGCTCACCGTGCTATCTTTGTCACTGTTTTGTGAATTTTAAACTGATCTTAAGTTGAGACAAAAATGAGAGGTTGTACTAAAACCTGTTGGATTTACTTTTTTCTTTCTCAGTAGAAACATGCATTCGAGTGGTTGTGATTGGATGTGAGGAAAGGAGTGGCCTTTCCACAGACATTTCTAAAAGGAAAAGAAACTGTACAAAGGCTATTTCCCTGTCCGTGCAGGTCGAGGAGCTGTACCCACCGCTGCTGTGCCGTCCAGGCTGCTGGGCACTGGCCTGGGGTTGCTGTGGTGTGAATTACACGCTGGTTTTGTAGCATAAAGAAAAGAATGACGCCCCTGAATAACTGTTACACTGAGTCTACGCTGAAACGGGAATATTCCAATGCCCTGGGTTACATGCACTGCTAAAGTTAAATTCACCTTTTCTTTCTTTCTTCATGTGGCCACCAGAAAATGGGACGCTGCCAGGCCAGCGTGGCTCAGTGGTTGAGGGTCGACCTATGAACTGGGAGGTCACAGTTCGATAAACGGTCAGGGGCACATGCCCGGGTTTCAGGCTCGATCCCCAGTGGGGGTTGTGCAGGAGGCAGCCGATCCATGATTCTCTCTCATCATTGATGTTTCTCTCTTTCTCCCTTTCTCTCTGAAATCAATAAAAAAATATTTATTTTAAATAGAAAAAAGAAAATGGGAAGCTCACGTTGCATTTTTATTGGGCAGCGATGCTCTATGAAGCCACAGGCGAGGGACCTGTGGCCGGGGCCCAGGAAGGAAAGGCCGCCCTTAAACCACGGCGCCGCACGCACACTCTCCGCAGAGAAAAAAGACACCTCACTGCAAAGTTACAAATTTATTGGTCTGGAAATAAATACAAATATCTCGTTAAGAAACTCCTCTGGAGAGACGTGTACACAGCAGTTTTCTGTCTGGATCCAGCCACTCCTCCCCTGACCCTCTGCTCGAGGTCAGGGGACACCTCCCATAGAAGGCGGCAGGTGGATGGACTCGTTCATGACCCCTCACGCTGCCTGCAAGGCCTGATTACTCCCTTCCACCAACTCCAGGGTCCCGGAGACCACGGGGTCCCAGCGGCCGATTCACAACGTCCCACTCCCTCTGATCAAACTCCCTAGCAGATGCATGGTTAGCCGGGATGAAAATCGAAAGGCAGTAGTATGGGAACGTGACCCAAACATGTCAGTGGTGCCGCCCCATTCAGAGAGAGGAGGTTAGGGGTGCAGGGAGGAGCGGGAGGCAGGAGAGGGAAGGAGATCCCAGGGGATACACATTCCAGAACCCTTACATCTGCTCCCCTGCCCGCCAGAGTCCCCACCCCATACAAAAGCCAACAGGTCTATCTGAAGATCCAGGAATGTAACCGGGTCAGAAAGGTTGGGCTGTCAAGCTCAGATTCAACCATGATTGAACTCAATCACAGAAGGTCTCGCTCGAAACCAGGAGGAGATCCACAGAAATCACAACTACCCTGGATTCCATCCCAACCACAAGAGTCTGTTATTTACATCTGGTGCCCAAACCCCACCCCCACCCTGCCCCACAGCATGGAGATTCCTGGCAGCGGGCACAGCTGTTGGGAATGTCCCCTCCATCTCCAGGAAAGCACCCCCATATTTAGAGGCTCTTCCCCGTGAAGGAAATAACCATTCGCTCATGTCTTGGGGGTGGGAAGCAGGGGCTGAGGGGGAGGAGGAGAGAGCAGAGCCAAAGCCTTAAATCCATGATGCCAAGCACTTGCCGATGGGTTTTATTGTTGTTGCAGCAAAGCCAGGAGGATCTGTCTCTGCCTTTGTGTTCATGAAAAACAAATGTCAGGAAAGCAGGCCTGCGTGCGTGCGTCGGCATTGCAAAGTGTATGCGCGAACTTTAAAAATCGATTTCAGGTGAGCTACATAGATTTGCTTTTCCAAACTCTCTGAGCCTCCCAGTAAGCTCCGCCTCTTTTCCCGCTGCCTGTTTTGCCTACACCAGCCCAACCTCCCTGGGCTCACTGCTCCCTCCTCCCCAAACCAGAGGAGGGTTTTGTTTCCAGAAACTGAGTGGGTTTGTCTTTAGTGGGAGAGGAAACAGAAGCAGGTGGGCTGACTTCCCCTAAAGGCCCCTGAGAGCCCGGATGCCCGGGTTGGCCTAGGCCTGGATTAGGACCTGTTTCCTGCTGTGTTTCTTGTTTGGGGCGGTTTGGCATCT